TTGAAGTGTTCTGGAACAGTGTTGTAAATACAACTTAATCACTGATTTCTAGTCGTGTCCTCTTTTGGAAGACCAAATAAAGTAGTTTCGCTTTCACAACGAAACACAGCGTCACACTCGACGGGCTAGAGTGAGCAGAGGCCGGGGGCTAGAGTGAGGAACGGCCGGAGGGCTAGAGTGAGCGGGCTTGCGGCAACCACATGTGACGACCCCGGAAAAATTGAAAATTTTGAAAAATTGAAAAATTGAAATCGCATCATATGACCCCTTTAAAGTATTACATTTTGTGAAAGTGGCCATTATTAATGTTAAAGTAAAATAAAAATCAATGCTTTGAGAGCAAAACATCCTCACGAAGTAGCTTTTACCTTTAATGAGACATCTGAGCTTGTTTTATTATACGTTTTAACATTTCCGGGGAAAATCACAGAAACGTTCTAACAGAAAAATCTAACAGCCATTCCTCAAGTCTCCAGTGTCACATGATCCTTCAAAAATCATTCTAATATGCTGAAGTGGTGCTCAAGAATCATTTATAATTATTATCAAAACAGTTGTGCTGCTTAACATTTTTGTGAAAACCGTAATTTTTTTTTTTTAGGATAATTTGATGAATAGAAATTTCAGAAGAACAGCATTTATTTGAAATAGAAATCTTTTGCAACATTGTAAATGTATTCACTGTTGCTTTTGATCAATTTAATGTATCCTTGTTGAATTAAAAAAAAATACTAAAATACTACATTTTTGAAGGGTATTGTAAATAAAAATGGAAAACTGAAAAGGAAAGTAGCAACAAAAGGATTCCGATTTTATTTCTCTGCATGGTTGTCCTTTGTCTCGGCAGTTCTTTCACCTTTTTTTTGTTTGTTTACTTTTCCTGCATTTTTCCTCTTTGGCCATAGTGTTTTCGGAACGAAACGTGGAATGAAATGTTCTGATCCTGTGCATTGTATTGTTCAGACTCTAATGGTCTTCCTGTTATGAGGTTTGTAAGTATTGTTCTTGTTAGGCAGTATAAGTAGCACTCAGCTTCATTCTCAGGATGTGCCACCAGAGGATTTGCATGTATAGAGTCATTTCTTTTGGTAAGGCTGAAGGGGAAATCACCAGAAATGCCATATTTTCTCTATGAAATTGCAACAGGCTGAGAAAAATTTCTGTAAAGGGGCTTTTTGAGTTGTTGCTGTAAATATTAACCTTCCTTCCTTCCTTCCTTCCTTCCTTCCTTCCTTGCTTCCTCTCCATCTCTCTCTCTCTAGAGTGAAGCACCAGGTGGAGTATCTGGGTCTGAAGGAGAATATAAGAGTAAGACGTGCCGGCTATGCTTACAGAAGAGTCTTCCGCAAGTTTTTGAACAGGTAAAGACAGTTTAAAATTCATCCTCAAGGCCTGGCAGTGAGCTCTTCATAGAACATCATGGAATGAGAGCATATGGTCACATCTGGCGCTACAATTTTGTCATCCAGTGAGAAGACACAACATTTTCACAAGAAACAGCATCAGAAAGACAAGGAAGAAAGATTTTTGAAATGTGTGTTATGACACTTTATGTTGATAAATTTTGGTTCATCTTTTGTTTTGGGCCAATAATTGGGCAGTTTCTTGTGTGTGTTCTTCATCTCAGTGTGCAGCGACAGACGTCATTGTGTTGGTTTAAGGGTCTAATTTTTCCATGATGACACCAATTACTTCACATGCTTCATTGGGTTATTAACTTTTTACTTAAAAGTTAAAACCTGAATCATCCTTTGGTGTGTTAATATTAAACGTCTTATTGGTTTTAGAGTTATTTTTTTACCCTACCCTGCCAGTGTTTATCTTGCACACACACACTTCATGTTCATACAGTTTATTTACACGAGGCTCCACTTCAGAAGACTTTCAACTGAGCATTTTATACTTTTGCATGAATGAAAAATGCATACTTTACTCAAATATATGATTTCATTCTCCAAATGATGAAAACTTCCTCGTGTTCTCTCTGTTTCAGATATGCCATTTTGACGATGGAGTCATGGCCGACGTGGCGCGGGGATGAGAGGCAGGGTGTGCTTCATCTCCTGCGCTCCGTAAACATGGACCAAGACCAGTATCAGCTCGGACATACCAAAATCTTCATCAAAGCCCCTGAGTCGGTAAGATCTGACAAGTTTGGACAAGTTCAATTTAAATTTTCAGCAACAGAATATGATATCAAAGTTATCAAAGATATACAAAGTTATCTTAACAAATAGTAGTACATATAAATTACAATGTGTGCTCCATTTTGAAGAGTCAGTATTGCACATTTTGATCCTCTGTTAGTCAAACATCTTTTCACCAAGTCTTCACATGACAGAATTCACCAAATGTTGGAATAGGACCCTTCTGCGCACTTGTTTGCGTTCCAGCTCTCCCACTTTTACATATACGTATGAATGAAAGTGAATGGCACACAGTCTAATGTGACCATACCTTAGGTTTGACAGCCAGAAAGTGTCCACATACTTTTTGTCTTAATATTGAACAGTTCAACTAAAGTTTTATCGTTTAAAAACAAACCTCTTTTTCTCTTGATGTTTTGCTTTTGCAAGATGCACTAGCAACAGCTGACACAAGCTTTCCTATCAGCAGCATGCAGAACATTGTTTCTTGCTTTGGTCTAGATTTAACATTTCAGTTGTGCTGTAATGGCAGGAGAGAGGTGAAGTGTAAAAGTCAGCCTTTGTCTCGCAGACATCAGCTCAGCTCAGAGTGGTGATGAATAGTGGGCAGTCAGCAGGGAAGGAGGAGGGACGCTGGGACGGTCCCACGTCAGCACTGTTAGGTCAACATTACTCTGGATCTGATACACAACTGCAGTGCTGTGGTAAAGCTGCTTCTGTTATGTCCAAGACAGCTTTGCTTTTTCCACAGTGCTTTTTTTTTTGGGATTGCTTATGAAAGCACTGCTTGTGGATGTGCTGTGATCTCACTATTGACATTTAGATGTACACACGTATACATAGACCCACAGAATAAGGCTCTGTGGCTCAGCATGAATGCAACAGATTATCCAGAGATGTGTGACTTTGTCATATAGGTGTTAAAACGTGGCCTTTTCTATGTGTGCGTGTGTAATATTAAATATGGGAGAGCCCAGGTCTGAACTGCCCAGCCTCTCAAAACAAAACTCCTTCTTGAGATAAGGTGCTGACACTGAGTAATTAGTTCATGACTACAGGAATTTCTTTAGTGAGAGAGAGAGTGTGCGTGCAGTAGTCGCTCTGCCAGAATGAACTCTTTCATCCTACTGAGAGCTGATGAAGGTGAGTCTTACAGTGTTTGTGTGAGACATCCTAACAGTCTGATGGGATGAATCTCACCAACAATGTCAAGAAACAATGTCCAGGCCACATTTTACCATAAAATTACAAGGGGAGAAAATAAGTTATTTGCAATGTGGTTGCTATTTTGATATTGTGATATTATTTCAATATACATTATTTTAAGCCATTTAAACCCTCCATACACTACCATTCAAAGTTTGGGGTCGGAAAGATTTTTTTAATGCTTTTGAATAAGGTTTCTTATCCTCACCCAGGCTTTATTTGATTTAAATGCATTAAAAATGTAATAGGTACTGTGAAATATTATGACATTATTTCATAATTTAACATAGCCGTTTTCTATTTGAATATATTTATTCATGTGATGGTAAAGCTGATTTTTCTGCTTTTTCACAGTTGAAAACAGTTGGGCTGCTTAATGTTTTTTGTTTTTTTTTGTAAACCAAGATACTTTGATGAACAGAAAAATAACAGTATTTATTTTAAATTGAAATATTTTGTAACATTATAAATGTATTAACTTTTGATCAGTTGAATGCATTCTTACTAAATATAACTATTAATATTTTTAAATATGTATATATATTGACCCCAAACCTTTGAACGGTATGGACATGCAGGACAGGTTATTGTAAGTAGTTAATTGTAAGTAGGGATGCACAATATATTTGGGCATATAAAATGATTGATTTTAGTGTTTTATTTTTCATTTATTTGAAATATAAATTTTTGTTTGAAACAAAATAGTACAATTAGTATAAAATTGCTATTTATCAGCTAGCTATAAAACTAAAATGATTATCAGTGGGAGGTTTGTGGAAGTATGTTAGTTTGTGTGTGGGGTGGGAGACAAAAAGGGATTTCTTTGTGTGTTGTCTAATAATTTCTCATCCTGTGCCAGCTGTGTGTGTGTGTGTGTGTGTGTGTGTGTGTGTGTGTGTGTGTGTGTGTGTGTGAGAGAGAGTCAGTGCTAGGCCTTTGTGCTTTGTGATAATGATAGGATCTGATGTTTAGTCTACAGTGCAGCAGAGCTGTGACAGTGTGTTCTGAGGACATACAGGAAGCACAGTGGAGCTGCACAGTGCTCAAAGCCTTATGGGATGACCACAGGACACTCTGAACACCTGCTTACTGAGAAAGAGAAATACGAAAACTGAAATAGAAAGAGAGAAACTGTTGTATGACAAGGACAGACTGAACCCACTATCTGTCATAATGTGACTGTTTAACACGGCTCCAATGAAGAGTGACCTTTAGTGTAATGGACAGAGTTATGCAGCTCTGTTCGCTATTGTTATTTGCACTAAGTCTGTAACAATGTGGATTCAGCTTATAATTCGTTTGACTGATTCAAACTGATACCTGCTGAATTTGTGAGCCCTTTTTATTGATTAATTTTCACAGCCTGCATTATATTCTGTTCACAGCTCTTCCTGCTGGAGGAGACGAGAGAGCGCAAATTTGATGGTTATGCCAGAGCCATTCAGACGGCCTGGAGGAAATATTGTGCACGCAAAAAATATGTTCAGATGAGAGAGGAGGGTGAGTTCAACCTTCAGATGAGTTGTTTGAGCGAGGTTAAGATTTTACATACAAGCAGCCGCATACAAAGACAAACACATTATGAGATAGTAGAACATTGTAGAATGTGTCACAGTTAAAAGAGGAATTGAGTGATTTTCCCCTGTATATCTTTGAAGTCTGACCTCAACTGCTGCTTTCAGCTGAATTATTGTCATTATATTTAAAAGTAATAATAGACACACAAAGACAAAAACCGCTTTCCACCTTGTTTGGGTGTTTGTTCATCTATGCACCCTTTCAGGCCAATTTTAGAATAAAAACACTTTATTAAAACACTTTTCAAACTGTCACAAGTATTTAATAGCTATTAACAATATCTAATTGCGGACATAAACTTCATGCAAAAGTTTGGGTTCATTCAAAAGTATTATTATTAAAAGTATTATACCTTTGTTCAAAATAAATAAATAAATGTGTCGTTTTAGAATCAAATTTGTGTAGGATCATGTGACATTGAAGACTAGGCTGCTGAAAATTAAATTTTTAAATGTTTAAATATATTAAAATAGAAAATATTTAATTTAAAATGTAATAATATTTCACAATATTACTTTTTTACTGTATTTTTATCAAATAAATGCAGCATTGGTGAGACATCTTTCAAAAATTATCAAAAAATTCTTACCGACTGAACAGTAGTATACATGAAACAAAGCTGAATTACATTTTTAAACATTTTTGCAATAAAATGACTTATTCTGCTCATTTTATAGCTAACATTTTATATCACATACATTTAATTATTTTCAGTTTTTTGTATCATTTGACAAAATTGCAGCTTGATTGGAAATGATGCTCAAAAAATTCCATTCACAAGTGACGTTTACTTTTATTTATTTTTTTTACTATTTTTCTTGTTTTCTTCACACATCACATCTCATATTTATTTTCAAGCATACTCTCCCGATGTCTCATTTTTTTGTAAATGGCATAAGAAGTAAAGCTTTTTGAAAATAACACTGAACATTGATTCTATCCACATCCAGCCTCTGATCTGCTGCTGAACAGGAAGGAGAGAAGAAGGCACAGCTTGAACAGGAACTTTGTGGGTGATTACCTAGGTATGGATGACCGGCCTGAGCTCAGGCAGTTTGTGGGGAAGAGGGAGAAGATCGATTTTGCAGACAAAGTCAACAAATTCGACAGGCGGTTTAAGGTGAGCTTACCAAAATTAGCACACAGATTCTATGGAAAAATTTGTCAAATTTTGCCAAGCTGACATGTAGCATTTATATGCATGTATAGGTGACTAAAACTGTATTTTTCTCTTCAGAGCATCAAGAGAGACCTGATCCTCACCCCTAAATCCGTCTACCTGATTGGAAGAGAAAAAGTGAAGCAGGGACCGGAGAAAGGGATGGTGAAAGAGGTCCTGAAGCGCAAAATTGACGTAGAGAAGATAATGGCTGTTTCTTTAAGGTACGTCAGCGCACAAGCTCAGTCAGTTCATCTAAGGTTATAGCAAGTTACAACAAAACTTCAGGTAAAACGGCATACATTTTCAGTCATTTGAATAGGAACTGTAAAAATCTGTATATTAGGCCACAAGGAGCCAAATGGCTGCAACTTCCCTCCCATATGTAAAACAGAGCCTGAATGCAGTCCCAAAATGCCTTGCATAACCATCTGCAGAGTTATAGGCGTTGAGACATCAAAGGCCCAGTCTGGTTGTTAGAGCCGTCGTATGCGCTGTGTTACTTAACACATGTTGAATCGAGGTCTGTGATATACAAAACTTCGGTCTCTTAAAAAAATGTATCGGGTTTTTTTAGCGTTCCCTGGAAATGATCAAACATCCAGTACTCTCTCAAAGGAACCTAGATTACTGACCTAAAAAATAAGGACCAAGGATGAGGTACCAGCCCCCCACAACCTTGCATATTTTGGTTTTGGAGTTGGGGGTTGTCAATAATGTGAACCAGGTGTTGCTAGGAAGGGAGAGTACACCTTGTAAAAAACTCATTAGAAAGGACTTAAGTTTATTGGGTGAAGCAGGGCATCTCTGTATGTGTCCCAGACATGGAAACTTTAACAGTCACCGTATCATTGGCTTTTTTTGTGACCCCGACATCCTGTGTGTCTATGGAAACCCCCAAAAGTGCCTCAACACGTGTAACCTGAAATAAAAGACTGTTCTCATGTTGAATGATCAAACAAATGTGGATATTGCAGGTCTTTAAAAGACATTTATCTCCCCTACAGCACAATGCAGGATGACTTCATGATCCTGCACGAGGAGGAGTATGACAGCCTGCTGGAGTGTGTATTCAAGACGGAGTTCATCAGTTTACTGGCACGCCGATACGAAGAGAGAACACAGAAAAAGCTACCTCTCAAATTTAGCACCACGTAGGTTGAAATATATTTCACATGTAGCTACGGTTATAGCAAAGCCATGACTTTAGAATGAATTAAGAAGTGAAAAGATGAAGACATAAGATTCTTTTTTTTTTTTGGACTAAAAGTGTCTAAATACATGTTTGTTTTTTGTCTCTTATGCTCACCAAGGCTGTATTTATTTGATAAAAAATGCAGTCAAAACACTAATATTGTGAAATAATATTACAATTTAAATGGGCCATTTTCCATTTTTTTAATATATATTTTAAAATGTTACTTATTCCTGATGGTAAAGGTGCATTTTCACATTCCTTGATGAATGGAAAATTCAAAAGAACAGCATTTATGGAAATCTTTTGTTACATTCTAAATGCCTTTACTGTCACTTTTGATCAATTTAATTCATACTTGCTGAATAAAAGTATACTTTTTTTTTTTTAAATAATCTTACCGACTCCAAACGTTTAATGGTAGTGTAAATACCTAATACATTTCGTTTTGTGAAATTATTGTTTCTTTTTGTTTCAGTTGCTTCTTTTCCATTTTAATTTTTCAATTATTTGTGTTTTAATAAACAACATTTACTTTAATATTTTATTATTTAATGCAATGACATTCTAGCATTTTTAAATAGCTCAAGTGTCCAAATACTTGTTGCGGCCAGCCACTGTACACTAATGAATGACTGTGATTGGACCTGCAGGCTTGAAATGAAACTGAAAAAAGAAGGTTGGGGACCCTGGAATGCCGGAGGGTCCAGACAAGTGCAGTTCATCCAAGGTCAAGGGGATGTAGCTGGGCTGAGACCCTCAAACAAAATGCTGCAGGTCAGCATTGGACCGGGTTTGCCCAAAAATTCACGTGAGTGATGACTCAAAAAATCATGTAATATCATTTAAATTAATGTTATTTGTTATTCATACAAGATCTCATGCACCCAAATTCAATCATTCAGGTCCTACTAAGAAGGGCATCACTCAAAGCCGTCCCAGCATGTCCAGGACGCATCACCACACCCCAACACGAGTCGCACCCGGCCCTCCAGGTACATTAAGACCTCTGACATTGACTTTCCTAATCTTCTCATTACCTCAATCAATACGCATTTGTTGAAAAAGTTCTTAAGCTTGTGTGTTTCCCAGCAGTTGCTCACCAGAATGGAGGTCTGAAGAACGCAAATCATGCTGTCAATCAGAGAAATTCGCAACATCACAGCAATCAGAGGCCGACACCTGGAAACATGGCTCGTCCGTTCCTGCCTACTAATGTCGGACCGGGTTTGCCCAAAAACTCACGTGAGTGATCACTCGTGTTGTGTGTCATTCAGTGCTATTCGTCATCCATGCAAGACCTCATACACCCAAATTCAATCATTCAGGTCCTACTAAGAAGGGCATCACTCAAAGCCGTCCCAGCATGTCCAGGACGCATCACCACACCCCAACACGAGTCGCACCCGGGCCTCCAGGTACATTACTTTCCTAATCTTCTCATTATCTCAGTCAATATGCATTTGTTCAGAAGATCTTAAGCTTGTATGTTCCTCAGCAATTGCTCACCAGAACGGAGGGCTGAAGAATGCAAATCACGCGGCCAATCAGAGAAACTCGCAACATCACAGCAATCGGAGGCCGACATCTGAAAACACGGCCCATCCCTTCTTGCCTACTAATGTCAGTCAGCTCAAGGACAGAGGCAGGAGACAGGCACCCCAGCAAACCAACCTGGATTTCCTCAAAGTACCAGACCAAGGGGCCGCAGGGTGAGAGCACAGCATACACACACACACACACACACACACACACTTGAAATGATATAGATAACTGGAGCTCATCACCAGACATTATCCATGCAAACAAAACAGTGATCTGCATTTCAAGTTAACATGCATGTATCTCTTTACTGTAGCAGAAATCGACAACCATCTGACAATGGAGGAATGTGAGTCTGAGCATGTGTGTAGTTTCTGTTAGGTGGCAGTGGTTGTGGTTCAGTGATTGTGGAATAGCAATCAAAACCAGAGATGCCCAACTTCAAATAAACCATTGCATCCTCTCAGTCTTATTTTGGATTTCCATTTCCTTATCACATTTGATAAATTCAAGTTTGTTTTACACTACTGTTCAGAAGTTTAGCGGTGGAAATATTTTGAATATGCTCTCCAATGCTGCATTTATTTGATCAAAAATAAAATAAAAACAGCAAAACTGTGAAATATTATTACACTTTAAAATTACATTTTAAAATATTTTCAAATAGAACGAAGCTCTTTGTTCTATTTGAAAATATTTTAAAATGTAATTTATTGCTTTGATGGCCATTACTCCAGTCTTCAGTGTCACAAAATATGCTGATATGGTGTTCAAGAAGCATTTATTATTATCATCAGTGTTGAAAACAGTTTTGATGTTTAATATTTTTGTGGAAACCATGATTAAAGAACAGCATTTTATTAAAATAGAGTTTCTTTGTAACAATGCACAGTCTGCAATGACAGTCTTTACTGTCACTTTTGATCAATTTAATGTGTCCTTGCTAAATAGAAATATTAATTTCTAAAAAAAAAACAAAAAAAAACTTACTTGTCCTAAACTTTTGAACGTAGTTATTCAGTGTTATTGAATAGAGTTCAGATTGTGAATATCTAATTATATGAGAGACTGTTTTTTCCTTGAACTTCAACAAGGTTAAGGACTTTGGGTTGGGCATTTTCTAACATTTTCCCTGTTGTAGTCATGATGAGGGCCGACGCATCATGAAGGCTGAAGGGCTAACAAATTACCTTTAATCGCAACAGCTGAAAAAAATAATTCTGGGCTTAAAAGTACAGTGGAGGATCAACTGAATGAAGTCTATTTGGAAGACTTTTGACACGATGAATAAATGTGAATCGCCACCTAGTGGGTAACACATGAACTAACACCACAAAATCAGACGGCTAACCCTCTCAACAGCAGCTATACGGTGCTTTAAGAGCCTAGTTGACTTCACACTTACCTTCACTCGTAGAAGCATGTCCCTGTGGTTGCTGCAATTTTAGAAACATCACATGCAACTCCATCAGTTCATGTCCTCTGTGCTTTTCTCCTAGGGCCCACAGACAGTCCACAAACAGGCCCACTCCAGGAGGTGGCCGTCCCAAACCAGCCCCCAAGCCGAAGCCCCAGGTGCCTCAGTGTAAAGCTCTTTATGCCTACGATGCCCAAGACACAGATGAGCTCAGTTTCAACGCAGATGACATCATTGACATCAGTAAGGAAGGTGAGAGGGTACAAAATGCTTGTTTTACGTAATACAAATGTTTTTATTGTGGCAGAACGTAGTAATTATGATATCTGCCCATTATTTGTTTATGTCTAGATGCCTCTGGATGGTGGACAGGGAGGTTGAGAGGTAAACAAGGCCTTTTCCCAAACAACTACGTGACTAAGATCTAAGCTCTTCTGCCGTTAATGAGGGGACCAGACTTGAACCTCAGCGGACTTGTTAGATGAAGGACAAAAAAGGAGGGAAAACTGAGATAATGAAGGAAGGAGCGAGGTGTGCCGTGGCTGTGGTCAAACTCCTCATAAGCTCTGTGTTCTGGTGTCACTTGAGGCCATGTGGGCAGACGCCGGTCGGTTGGACACGAAACTTCTCCAGGGCACTGAATACTGAACTGTCCCTGTGAGCACTGATCAAAACTATTTATTGTATTTATATTATAGCATTCTGCAGTTTATTTCTGATGTGGTTTGTTCATCTGTCATTGATATTTAAGGTGATCTTAATTCACTTGAAGAGATGAAGTAGCCATTTTATGTGGGAACAGGCCTTTTAGAGTCACCTGCTGTTCATCATTTTTATTTTATTTTAATTTTTTTCTCCAATTTCTTGAAGTCATGTCTAAATCAATGGTTTTAGTGGGGAATGTTTTGCTGCTAAGGACCATTTTACATGTTATTCCCTTTCATCTTGTTAAGAGAAACCCTAATGTAAAAAATGCACTATGGCTCTTGAAAACCATGGTTTGTATGCTTTTGAAGTTCATCATCTCAGAACAATGCCGAATGTGTCATTGTGCAAAAGATGCAAACAGTTAAAACTGTCTAAATTTAAACTACAGTGGTATTTCCATGCATCAAAGACATAATCAGCACATTATTACTGTATAGTTATGAAACGTTTTATAAGTATGATATCATACAAATGTAGTGGTCAGATCATCCACACCAACATTCGCCAAGGTGCTAGTCAGTGAAGAATCAGAGGCTGGATCCATGAAAATCTTCTTAAGGTGGTTCTCAAGATCAATTCATAATGTTCTTAAGTACAATTCTTGAAAAAAATGTTATAGGGGAAGTTCCCATATACTTTCTTAAGAATATATTTTTTATTCTTAAGAATAAAGTGACAGGTGGTGTCTGATTGTATACTATTGTACTGATGAGGCTGCCTCGTCTAATACAACAAATTCAAAATTTTATTCTGGTACATCTTACCCTCATTTCATTTTATGATACATTTAAAGTGAACTGGATTAGACAATCATTATAAATGTTACTTCCATCTGGAATTTTATTTGGGGGACACCCAATAAATTAGTTAAACATCTTAATTTTGGGTACTTAAAAGTTAGAGGTTATCCTAACTTCAAGTTATTTATGGTGACTTAACATTCAAGTATTTTGGAAATACATATTAGTAACTGAAAGTTAGAAAAGTGCAGTTAAGATGAATTTTATTCTTAATTTGTGAATACTTTCACTGTAAAGTTTACATAGATATTGCTGGCATTTTACATCAATCTCAGACCATTTTAGAATGCAGGTGAAGTTGATGAACTGTTTAAGAAGTATAATTATTGGTTTAATAGATGCCCACTGGACCATAGAAAATCAGTCTTGTTCACTAACCATGCATAGAAAAATTTGTATGTGAAATTAACATTCACAAATGATTCAATAGCTTTCATACTAAAATTGATATAAAACGTAGGAATAATTGAAACCATATATATGCTAAAAAATCACATTTCCTTAGTCACAATTATGGCCTCATAAATGTGACGATGAAATGTTACAGATACTTCGCCTTAACTCGTATTTCAATAATTAGTGAATGAGACCCAATGCATTGAAAGCTTGTCCTTTTGGAATTAAACTGAAGGTTATTAAAAGCACACGTGCAATATTGACAGCAGGTGAAAAGACTTTGGGTCTTTAGTTCAACAAGACTAACATGTCACTGTCAGTATCAACACACAAGCCAGAAAGTGGTATTAAATCTTTGGAATTTAATGGATTCCGGCTTCAATTTGCCCAATAAGAGGTAAAGCAAAAACACAGCTCCAGCAAGTTTATAACAGTAAAAACCAATTTAAACCCTCAGTTTAAAAATGTAATCTTTATAAAAAGTAGAAACAAATGTTTATTTATACAGACGATCCAAGAATATGTACATTAGTTTAAAAAGCAGCAGTCCATCTCCCAAAATGGCTGAAACAAAATAAAGTGCAGGTTTTAGTGTCCATTCCAACACAATTCTCAAGATCTGGACAGCAGAGGAGCAGCCAGATCCTTCACAAATGACGACTTCAACTGTGGAAGAAGGCTGATCTTCATGAGCCTACTGCTGGAGTATTTCTTTCTCACTGTCTGTAAGAGAAGGACCACATCAGAGCATTTAGTAGAACTAAACCCCCATGCACAAGTGACTAATAAAGTGCATACCACATGCTTTGTGAGCCCTTCATTGACCAGAACCACATTTTTGGCAATATGCTGCATGATAGGCTTCAGGTGGGCCTCATCATAGGTAGAGTAGTGTTGCTGGGTTGGCGACTGGAACAGGAACAAATTAAGAGATAAATTGATGGAGGGGTGGGAAGATATGGAAGACATTACAACACAAAGAAAAAATTACCCATTTTTGGCCATCAAGCACAAGCTGAGAGAGGCACAGAGCAGCAGCTGCAGTCTCAGAAGGGTTAAAGTGGACCATGTCATAGTCAAGTAGTGTCAGTTCAAGGAAATATTTTGCCAGTGTATGTTTCTCAGCATCCGCCTAAAAAGTAGACGTAAAAAAGGCAAAGATGTCTCAACATCTGAAGCTCTAACAAGTCTGCCAAACCAAATCAGGATCATAAAACCTGAACTTACATTCCCAGCTTTTGAAGCCCTCCGCAGAAAGTGCAGGGGCAGAGGACGTCCGAGTTTAAAGTTCAGCTCACTGAGAATCAGAATCTCCATCTCTCGGATCTGGGCTTTTGTGAAGGCATCGTCCACAATGTAGGCAAAGTCCCCAACCATCGGCACATACATTTCCTCGTATTTACAAGCAATCAGCATTGCGGTAACACCCACTAGCTGGAGCTTCTTACGGGTCACAGGCTGGACCTGAAAGGGAAAGAAAAAAATTGTTTAACTCAGGGCTCCAACACTTTCCATTTAAAAAAAATAAAAACCTTTACATTAAGACATGCATGCTACTGTGTTGCCAAATAAATGCTGGTATACTGTAGATTGGTACTGTACCTCATACAAATTAACATCAAACCCAGACAAAGTATCTGTAATACTATAATGCTTATTATAGTAGTCGGAAGGAAGTCGTGGCCTAATGGTTAGAGTCGGACTCCTAACCAAAAGGTTGCAAGTTCAAGTCTCAGGTCCGGCAGGAATTGTAGGTGGGGGGAGTGAATGTACAGCGCTCTCTTCCACCTTCAATACCACGACTGAGGTGCCCTTGAGCAAGGCACCGAACCCCCAACTGCTCCCCGGGCACCACAGCATAAATGGCTGGCCACTGCTCTGTGTGTGCACTTAGGATGTGATAAATGCAGAGCACTAATTCTTAGTATAGGTAATCATACTTGGCCACATGTCACGTCACTTTCGGATTAATTCAACCATTATTATTCCAAGACCTCATCCATATAGCAGTTTACATACAGTGTAGGAACGCAGGTAACTGCCTCAAGACTGGTAACACTTTAAAATAAAAGGTCCCATTAGTTAATGCATTAACCAACAATGAGCAAAAACATCAGTTAGTATATTCATTATATTTTTAATTGTTTAAAAGAAAGCAGCTGCTCATTTTAAGTTTGTTAAAATGGGTACATTAAATGTTATCAGGTACAACTTGACATTAATAATGTATCAGTAAATATTGAAGCTAATTTTTTGTAATTATTGTTAGTTCATGTTAGCTAATACTAACAAATGGAAACTTATTGTAAAGAGCTACTCCTTTTGTAATAACTTTTGGGTAACTTGTACCTGGAGAAAGCGATCAAGGATGGCTACGGTCATGTACAAAGTTTCCTGCAGGAGTTGAAATCTCGAGTGCACCTGAATCAGCCAGTCAACCAGGAGAGCGCGCATCCGTCCATTGATATCATAGCCACGCATGTAAAGAGGACGAACAGACTGCTTACTCTGGAACAAGAGGACAGCAGCTGTAGGAAGCATGAAGGTCAAATAAAGAGGTTACATTTAAAAAGTGTAAGGTACCTCAAGCCTTCGCAGATACGCATAGATGTCCTTCACATATTCAGGACACAGCTGTGGCATGTCAGCATCCCCTTCATCGATGTCTTCGACTGGAAAGAGAGTGTTGGAAAAGGCTTGACAGAGTTCCTCTTCCTTCATGCTCACATCAGCTTGAGCAGGGGGCAACGCTGGGGCAGGCTGGGGGATCTCGTGCTGTACCTGGGCACGTTTGGGTTGCACAACAGCAATTGGTTTTACAGGCAGCACGGGTTGAACCTTCTGAAAAGCAGAGAGGAAAGAGTAATATGTAACAACATGCTGTTCAAATGCACACGTTGCATGGTGGTAAATAAAGACACGCACCTTATTCTGAACTGGTTTGTGGATAACGTTAAAGTTGGACAGTTCGCCAAACACGGCCCTCTTCGCTGCGCCGTTTACAGGGCCGCCTTTGCCACCGATAAAAACAAGGTTGTTTGCATTGCGCTGTACGGGAAAAGGAAATTAAAACTCAAGGAATCTTCCTAAAAGCCATTTCAACACCACTCTTAGCAACTTAAGCCAGCGAACTTGAAGCGGTTTTGACGCTACACATATCAAGACTTTATCAGATCAATCAAAAACATGTTTCTACATCAAATACTCACCAAAGCGTGAATTTCCATGGCGAATACGCTAATTGTGAGGGCCCTTGCTTAAATAAAACCTTAAAAACTTGAAAAAAGGACCGTTTAGCTTCGCTTAGTGTTCCCTGTCCAACTCAACTCAACTCAAAACAAACCGTAAAATACAAAGGGCCTGCTGGTGATTCAAATACCACTCCGCTCTTTCTGATTGGCCACTGCCTCGGGGGACTACTCGACTTCGATTGGTTAAAAACGAAAGGGACGCTTGTCAGTCATTCTTCATCTCCGGTTTCACGTGTAGCTCTGCAAAACACGGCACTGAACATACTCCATTGTTTAACTTCAATGATAGGTTAGAATTTTTTGAATGAAAGATCAAATAGATAAACGATATAGATATAATATGCCAATATTAGTGGTTGGCACTGTATTCGCTGCTAGTTCTTTGAAGTCGGCTTGGTGTGTCCAGGTGCACAAATCGTCAGAACACCGGCATTTAAACATATTTGAAGGTCAGGCTAAGTAGTTGGCATCATGAAGGAAAGCGTATATGATGCTTTAACATTATTTCTGGAGTCTTGTAAATTTGTGGATGCAGAAATTTTAAGATAATAAGATTGAAATCTGCTGTGAATTAAATTATTTTCATAATTCCAACAAGTATAGAACAACCGCATTTTAACAAGGTTGTTGGTTAAATAATAAATAAATAAAACAAAAGCCAGAGAAAAACATTTATATGGAGTTAAACATTGAGAGTTGTTTCTTCATATACATTATAGACATTACATAATTACAGTCTACTAAAAAAACTTACAGTAGAAATTTCGTAGCTTATAATTTGCGTTTATGTACAGCAAAAATGTACTGAATCTGTATTTGTAATAATAATCATAATCATAATGATGATGATGATATCAAAAGTGGTTATACATTCTGATATTAGTTTTTTTTTTCTTCTCTCTGGTAGATTCGTACACAACTCGTTCCAAAATGTTGACTCGGTTCAGAGCACACAGAAATATTCACTTGACGCCCCCCTACTGGCCTAACCTTCAGAAATAGACACTGAACCTCTATGCACTGAACGAATCTTGGGTGAGCGGATTCAAAAGATTGGAAACATTGAAATACAGAATAATAATAGTTAATGGTAACGTATGGGGAATTTAATAGTAAATTACTGAGAAAAGCGTACACAAATTATCCCCACGGTTTAAGGGTTTAAAAATAAATAAAAATCGGCACCTCATCATTGGACCAATAACACTATTAAAAACGTTAACATTGCTTTTAACAGAAAGGGTAACTCTGTGTAGTGTTGTTTGTAAGAAAATTATAACGACAAACCCATAAAAACAGACAAGGGCCTTTAGTTTATGTAGCTGCATCATATGTACATGAGTGCTGCCCACTGATCTATAATAGAGAATATATAGCTCAGTAGTGCTGCCACATTCTGCCACTAGAGAGCATGAGGCGACCAACTACCTAATACAACACAGTAACGTACAACAGTCAAGACTCACAAATCGCACTAAAATCTATATAGATTTACAAGAGTCAGTAGTCAGCGATTATGATCATTCATGGGTTATTCACGATCTAAATTTCAACTAGCCTTTAGGTAATGTTGTGGTCCTCGAGAGTCGTCAAGGATGGGAGAATGTCGTAAAATGTCGAAACGCTCGCTCGCGCGCAGCAGCAGCGCCGTTCACATACACATACACACATAGCAGCGCTCTAATGGACGAGTGGGAACTCGCACCCGAGGGCAAACGGGGAGGAATTCGTGCCACATTTGACTGTTAAATAAAATGTCCTCTCCGTATGTTTAGCTCGCCGTGACGCTTAACGTGTGATATTGTAACTCGCGCGCGTATCCTCATATATTTAATGCGCAATCGTCGAAATATCCGTCAGTTAGCGGGGAGGCTAAAGCGCTGGGCCTCTCTCTCCTCACTCCCTCCCTCTCGGGTTTGTGTGACTGTCAGTTTCACACAATCCTCCGCTGACGTTCATTCGCTTCCCCAATACTTTTCTACTTCTGTCGACGAAAATTGTTCCCTGGAAAGGGGCTTAAGTCCTAGAGGGATAGTTTTCCGACGTGTATAGAGGTAAGTGGTGCTGTTTATGTTCGTTTTAACGCTACATTTCAGTTGGTAAAAGCCATTGTTTGACTAACTGAAGAGGCTAATAGCCCGCCGCTAGCAGTTTCAGTAGAGTGTGTTTGTCCCAGCACATCCAGGCCCAATGGGCTACTGATACACAACATGAACTGTCACTATCGCTTAACCGTGTCTAACATGTTTATTTTAGAATGTTTTATAATGTCTAGCTCTGTTGATGAAGGTGAGAACGACAACATCCACATGCCATCGGTGCTTTTCCTTTTCTGTTGTTTATCAAACCCCTCGTTGTCTTTGTGTTGTGATTTATGACATTTTATCGAAGCAGATGTTGTTATTTGATTGGAAATGGGAAAGCTGGCCTCATCATTTTGAGAGGGAATTGGTCAGCAGCTCTTGCTTTCTTGAACAGCCAGCTGGATCAGATTCCAGCCTTTGGATTTCCAATAACATTTTCAATGTGCCCCCTCTGTGAGTATGGCATATGTGGTGTTGACTCCCATAAATCAGTGACATCTGAAATAAAAGAGACTGGATTATTAATGTCACCATGGCTCAAACTACTGCACAGTGTTTTTTCCACAGCATCTTCTCTTTCACGGTGCTCTTCCATCATCTGTTTGGAAAAATAAACCCTTACAAATAAGAGGCAGTGTTACTTCTTTTGCTCCCAGTTGCAGTTATCTTCATATTTCATCCACATATGAAAATACTATGCCATTTGTCTTAAAGGGGTCATATGATGCGATTTAACATTTTTCCTTTCTCTTTGGAGTGTTTCAAGCTCTTGGTGCATAAAGAAGATCTGTAAAGTTGCAAAGACTAAAGTCTCAAATCCAAAGAGATATTATTTATAAAAGTTCAGAGTCAGCCACACCTACCTAAAACGGCTCGTTCTAACACGCCCCCACATATCTACCTCACTATGTGGGAAGATTTGCATAACGCCGCCCAAATGTTCACGCAAAGAAAGAAGGCGTAACTTTTATTCTCGCTGTAGTATTGTTGTTGCCGCAGCTGCCATGTCGTGAAGGTGCTGTGTGTTTCGTTGTGAAAGCGAAACTACTTTGTTCAGACTTCCAAAAGAGGACGATATCCGCTTCGCCATGCCTGGAGCTGATCCGTGCTGGTCGCTGAGGGAATACATCAACTTTCACCGTGGACAAAGCGGAATCCAGCCCGGGGTCCGTCACATGTGGTTGCCGCTCATTCGTCGGATCCGCCGGGCGCGCCGTTCTCGACCCCGCCGCCTCAGCTCACTCTAGCCCGGCCTCAGCTCACGCTAAGCTGGGGCTTCCCCTCACGCTAGGCCGCTGTGTTTTTCGTTGTGAAAGCGAAATTACTTTGTTTGGTCTTCCAAAAGAGGACACGACTACAAATCAGTGGTATTTACAACACTGTTCCAGAACAGTTCAACCCAAATATTCAGATGTGTGCAGCGCATTTTATGGAGGACTGTTTCTTGATCCTGGAAGAGTAGACCACAATGCCGGCTGTTCTGACTCAAAGACTGTACGTACGTTTTCATTTTAAGGATTTGCCACTGATGATTCAAAAGCGAGTTTTGAGCAGTGTTACTCTACACTGCTCAAAACTCGCTTTTGTGCTTGTTGTTTGTCATTTCTCCGATCACAAATGCAGACATATAAACACATTTCATTACACCAAATACACAAAATAATGTTCTTTTTAGCAACATCATATGACCCCTTTAAAAGATAATGTCATCTGCCTCTATAAAGGATTAATTTGTATGTATTAATAAGTGTTTCAGCTCTCCAACATAAGACGTCATGCCTGGTGAAGGAATACTGTGTTTTTAGGCTTGTTAATGTATTGATATCTGGGCTTGATCTCTGGTTGGATATTTACTCATGGTCTTGAGTAACATTTAGGAAACGACTGTCACAGTGGTTTGGATGATATATTTTAGTTAATTCTTTCAAATTGTTGAATAATTGAAATTAATGATGCAGGGCTTTTAATGGGAAGTTCAGCATGTAATAAAACAGCAGGTTTTACTTCCCCTGTGGAAATATGTACAGCTGAATATTTACAATTGTTTTGGTTCGGTAAGATTACACTGGCTTCATATTTTAGTCAGAAATTAACCACAAATTGTCTATTTATGTGTGTTGTCAAGGATGTTTTTCATTATATTTAGGGCTGCATGATAAATCGCATGCGATATTTAATGCGCATCTTGCGCATCATTTAATGCGCATCAGCGGTAAATCTCCATCACCTGCGTGCTTTCACATTGAGCAGCATTAACTACACAGAGCCGTTGTTCACTGACGAGTTGCGCAAAACCACATTCATATTCGTGCGA